ACACACACACACACACACACACACACACACACACACACACACACACACATCTTTGGAGTCAGGTGGTAGTGGCACACACTTTAATCCAATCCCAGCGCTCCGGAGGCAGAGGCAGGCAGACAGATCTCTGAGTTAGAGGGCAGCCTGGTCTACAGAGAGAGTTCCAGGACAGCCAAGGCTACACAGAGAAATCCTGTCTTGAAAAAAACAAAAACAAAAAACTAAGAACAAACAAACAAAAAATAATAAATAAAAAAATCTTTGGGCTGGGCATGGTGGTACAAACCTTCAATACCAGCACTCCTTTTCTGCTCAAATTGTATGGTTTTCAAATCCCATTCCACTTCCCTTCCAATTCTCATTATAAAACCTCGCTAAAGCAGAACCATCCCCAGTCTGAAGCTCTGCTGTCTTGACCCTTCCTCTGCCAAACAAATTAGTCTGTACTTTTAGTCTAACCTCATCCCAATTTCCAAAACATGGACAGAATGCAGACAGATTCTTCTCCTCTTGTGCACTTCCTGGTAAAGTGACGGTCAGTGTTTCTGGAAGCCGTCCCACCAGATCGTACACCAGGTGGCGCTCATGCCACCCTAGCGCTTCTCTAGCCCCAGCTTGGAACTGAACTGTCCCACGCTCCTCCCTCAGGCCAGTTCCAAAGGTCTGAGCAGCACTCGGTCAGCTTATCACAGCAACAATTCTGCAGACAGCACCAATTTTTTGTGTTAGTTGTTTCTGTGTTGTCTTGACTAAAATACCAAACGGAAACAATTGGCGCGGGGGTGGGGGAGTAATTGTGGCTCAAGGTCTCATAGCAGGAAAAGCACAGCGGAGCAGTAGGAGCCTTGAGGCAAAGACAGTTCACACTGGGACAGTCCAGGAAACTGAAGCAGGGTGTGTGTGGGGGGATAGGGGGGTTGATGGGGGCGCATGGGCACATGGTGGGTGGTGGGGTGGATGGTGACCAGAACCCAGAGTTGGGAAATACTTTTCAAAGGTCCACGCCTAGGAACATGCTTCCATGAGCTAGGATCAACCTCTTAAAACAGCCAGCCATGATGGCACACCACTTTAATCCCAGCACTCCAGAGGCAGAAGGATCTCTGTGAGTTCCAGCGAGCCTACATAGTGAGACCGTACCTCATAAAACTAACAAACATCTTCCAGAACCTCCCAAACGACCCCACCAGCTGGGAAACAAGCATCAGGGACTTGAGTCTGTGAGGGGCATTTCAGACTCATTTCAGGAATGTTAGCTTCAGCGTATGCTCTCCACCTGCTATAGCAGAATAGGAATGCCAGGGCATGATATCGTGCCCAGCCCTGCCAGTGTGCACAGAGATAGATAGGAGGAAAAGAGAGGGTAGACTGTGCAGCGAGCCAGGGCAGAGCCAGAGAGAAATAAATCGCAGGATCCAGGATCTCCATGAGGTGACTTCAGAGATAATGGACTAGCTCTTCATTGTATGGATAGAGGTGTAATGAGTCTTACTCTGTCCCACCAGCCAGCTCCCAAATAAGGACACAAAACTTATTATTAATTATGGAAGTTTGGCCTTAGCTTAGGCTTGGTTTTAGCTCACCTAAATGAATTAACCCGTGTCTAATAATCTACTTTCTGCCCTGTACCGCCCATGCTGCTTCCTCCAGGTCTCTGGCATGCTTAGATTTTTTTCTGCTTCCTCTCTCTGCCCAGAAGTCCTGCCTATACCTCCTGCCTATGTACTGGCCATTCAGCTCTTTAGGAAAGCAATCACAGCAATATATCTTCACACAGTGTACAAATATCTCACAGCGTAGAAGGGCCAGACCTGGAGAGGCCAGAATTCCTGCCATCCTGGCATCTGTTAGCAAATCAGAAAAGGGCTTTTCCCACCCAAAGCTTGGCTGTCTCGAAAAGGAAACAAAACATAACAGTAATACTAAAAGCTGGAGAGATGACTGGCTAACCAGTTAAGAGCACTGGCTGCTTTTCTAGAGGACCCTGGTTCAATTCCCAGCACCCACAGGCTGGCTCATAGCCATCAGTAGCTCCAGTTCCAGGGGATCCAACTCCCTCTGCTGGCCTCCACAGGCAATTGGGTACATAGACATAAATTCATGCAAAATGTCCATATACAAAAGATAAAGCAGTAAAGCTAAGCCGGGTGGTGGTGGCACATGACTTTAATCCTAGCACTTAGGAGGCAGAGGCAGGTCAGTCTCTGTCAGAGGCCAGCCTGATCTACAGGACAGCCAGAGCTGTTACATGGAGAAACCCTGTCTCAAAAACCCACAAAAACAAATGAACAAAAAACAGTAAAGCTACCTGGAAGATAATTTACCACTATAACTACTGCAAATTAATTTGTTTATTTATTTGAGACAAGGTTTCTCTATGTAGTCCTGGCTGGCCTAGAACTCTCTATGTAGACCAGGCCTTGAACCCAAAGATATCCACCTGCCTCTGCCTCCCAAGTGCTAAGATTAACCTACTGTATATTTAAACATGTACAACCATTCACTAGTTTCACTTGTAGGAACTTATGGTATAGAAATGCACATGTGTACAAAGATGGCATCTCTTGTGACAGGAGACATGGGAAGTGGTCCAGGAGTTAGGACTGCATCAGTAAACCATGGCACATCTGGGCAGTGGAATATAAACAGTCATTAAAAGCAGTGAGGGGCTGCAGTGTGGCTCAGTGGGTTGTGTAGGTGGACTTTCCTGTCCTGCCAGCCTACTCCAAAATAACCACACAGAGACTTATTATTATATTATATTATTATAAATACTCAGCTGATAGCTTAGGCTTGTTACTAACTAGCTCTTTCATCTTAAATTAACCTGTATCTCTTATCTACATTCTGCCACGTGGCAGTACCTTTTTTCAGCACAGCATGTTCGTCTGCTTTCTCCTTCCCAGTATTCTCTCTGTCTGGCTCTCCTTTTTAACCTCTTTCTGCCTAGCTATTGGCCAGTTGGCTCTTTATTAAACCAGCAAGATTAAAACATCTTCACAGTGCACAAAAGGATTATTCCACAGCAGGTTGTGCTTGGCATGCCCAAGGCCCTGGGCTGAATCCCTAGCATTGAAAATAGAGTATCCAGGATATACTGTTTAGCAAAATAAGTCACACATTATGTACCGCATGAATCCATCTAGGATAGATAATGATTTCTATGTTGCAATGAATGTTGGCAAATTCCCTCTAGGCAACACTTCTGCTTAGCAAGGTTCTAATCCACGGCTGGCAACTTTCTACTGTGTGTTCCTTACCTAACAGCTTGGTTCAGAGTGTAATGCAGTCTGCACCCATCTTTCAGGGCTTGGCTGGGTTGTCACCTCCTCCAGGAAGCTTCCCTGTCCCAGGTCTTCTTTGGTTCTTTCTGCCTCCTTCTCAAAGCAAAAAGAGTCAATGTCTGGAAAGGAAGAAAAAGCTGGAAGCTTCACTATGTAGAGTTTTAAAGTTGATTAAAATATGGATGTGACTGGCTGAAGGATAGATATATCAGTGAACAATTTACAGTATAGAGACAGACTCTCGCGTTTATGGTCAATTGTCACTGTAAAAGGGGGCGGAGATTATTCAGTGAGGGAAGAATAATCTGTACAGCTTGTGTATCTTTATCAGTCAGCTGGTGCACACACACACACCCATACCCACGTCCACATCCACAAAAACGCCCCGCCGTTCATTGCTGTCCTGTCTGCCTTTCTAGAAGGATGTACTCGGGCACATGGAACATTTCGTTTTAATGGCTGAACAATTTACCAACGTATGGATCACTTCAGTTAGCCTGGGAATTATGAGGACCCAGGAGGGTCCGTCCACACAGATGAAGAGCTGGCGGCTGATGACCTGGAGACGTGGATCCACCCGCAGCTCAGCTCAGAATGCACTGTTAACTCGGGCTTCCACGGGACGACCTCCGCTAGCGGGATGTGTGTGCAAAAGGGAAGAGTGCGCGTCGGTTAGCAGAAGCACGAAAGTTCCATTTGCGGGCACCTGCATCTTTTGGGCAGCACTAAAGGGATGAGGACTCTGGCCCAGTGTCGATCGGTCGTGAGCAGCTACTTACGTCCTTTTGGGTCACTTCGCCTCTCTTCCAGCAGCAGCGCACCCTCAGGCTGCGGGGATCCCTGTCCCTTTAAGGGGGCTGAACTTCGCTCCGTTACTTCCGCCCCGAAGTGACTTGGCGCAGGCGCGTTGGGGAGAGTAGGGTGAAGCGGTGGGAAGCGTTCCCCTTTACAGACATGGTAACGCCCTGGCCGCCGCGGGTGCGCCCGGCCGTGACGTCACTTCCTGGGCGGAGGAGGGAGAGTGGTGCAGTGAGGGACAAACAAAAGGAGGGCGCCCGAGGAGCGCGGCGTCCGGCGGCGGGACTGTGTGGCGGAGGACCGGGGCTGCCTGCCGGGCGGCTGCCAGCGGTGAGTGGGTCGGGTGGGGGATGAGACACGCGCTGTCACCTCGCGGAACCCATCCTGATGTGTGCCCCGCCTCCGCAAGCCCTGGGCGGCTCTCGCTGCCCGCGGGCGCCGGCCACCCAGGCCCTGCGCCCGGCTGCGCCCCGCTCCGCTCGGCCTCCGGCGGGCGCCGCTCCCAACCCCACCCTCCTGGCCGTGCCGCGGCTCGCGAGCCCCCTCCCGGGCACCCTGTGCCCAGCGCGCGCCTCTCACGCGAGTTTCCGCCGCGCTCCCCCGGCCACACTTGCTGTGCTGCTCCCCGCAGATCCGCGCTCCTCCACGCACGCACGCGCCCCTTTCCCAGTGGTTCCACCTGGGCGTTCTCCGGACAGCTCTCCCACCGGCTCCCCTAGTTCTCAGCCGCGGGCTTCCCGGCGCCAGCTTCTTTCCTTGGACCCCTCCCTCTTCCTGATCTGCGGGACCGTTCCCATGGCAGGAGCACAGACTTTTGGGACCTCGGTCTTTGGGCTTCGGTTCCCCGGACGACCGATTCTTGATGTGAAACTCCACTTGGTTCTGCCCTTGTCTTCTGTATCCATCGGCGGGCAGGAGTATCAGATCTGTGAAAGTGTGGGTGAGCTGAAGGTCAGCAAAGATGCTCCCAGGCTGAAGGAAGAACTCAGAGAGCTGTTTGTTTGTTTGTTTGTTTTTTGAGACAGGGTCTCACTATGTAGCCTTGGCTGTTCTAGAACTCTCTATGTAGACCGGGCTAGCTTCGAACTCACAGAGATTAGCCTGCCTCTAGCCTCCCGAGTGCTGGGTAAAGACGTGGGCCACTAAGCTGTGCTTGAGCCCTGGGTTCTTGAACCTGCTTTGGTGAGGATTCCTTCCCTTCCTCTGGACTGAAGTGAACCAAGATGGGCTGGCTCTCCTCTGATGCAATTACTGCCTTTTTTGGGAAGGACATCCGAATTGAGTGAGTGATGAGTGTTAGCTTTTTTCCGATGGGAACTGGGCTGACAGTGGTAGTTCCAGGACAGTCACACTTACACTGCCTCCGCTTTCCCTGCCTCAGCTAGGATACCTTTAAGGATGAGGTGTGGAAGGGGAAGAGGGTGTGTGAGGACAGGGACAGACACTTGTGTGCTGAATTTTGGAGGCAGAAATGAGTAGCCAGAGGCTCCAAGGTCCTTGCAAGTGTGTCAGTGGTTCCTTTAACCTGGCCATCTGTGTTCTGCCCTCTGGAGCAGACGCACCAGCAGACAGACAGACAGACAGACACTGCAGAAAGAAGAGTGGGTTGACTGTTGGGGGTAGGAAAGTGGGAGTGTATTCAGAGGCCCCGGGTGGGGTGGTGCCAGTGGGCAAGGCCATCACACTACTGTTCCCTTGATGAAGGTCATGCTCTCCTGTGGCTGTCTGGAGTAGGGCAAGGACATATGGGTAGTGCTGGAGGACACCTTGCTGGAGCGTGTGAGATGGGGTTTGATGCTCCACCTTGGGGGATGGTGTACAAGAGCAGAGACCAGAGAAGCATTTGACACCACCCCCCCCACACACACACACACCACCACCAGAAGTCAGCCTCACGCATTTGTTCTCTGTACCTAAGGCATACTTGTTAGGATGAAGTTTCCTTGCAAATTTGAGTGGCCTTTGTGGAGGGTGTGGGCTCCTGAGGCTCATCCTAATGGGGTAGAACCCCAGCTTGCTGCCTAGAAGAGCTGGAACCAGCCTGTTCCCCACTCACTCACCTGAGACTGTAGATGATTCCAGGTTTTTACATGGAGATACCGAGGCACAGGCTGAGCAGCCAAGACCTCCTGATAACTCAGGAGGAATAAATGTAGACTTTAACTATAGACAGCAGAGGAAGGAGGAGGGGGCCTTGGGTTAGTGAGCAGGCTGCCCGGGGTACATGTCCTTTAAGAAGGGGCTAGAACAGCGTGAGTCCAGAGTCCTGCTTTAGTCATGGCTGGGAAGTGGCGAGTTACTGTCCAGCGTCAGCGATGTCCCAGTCCTGCCCGAGACAGAGGGCGGGGCACAGGTGGCCTGGATGGCCTCTGCTCCTCCCTGGCTCTGGCTGCCGGTGCCTGCCTGTCTTGTCCTCCTGTGGTGTGAGAGACTGTGTTTGATGTCCATCCTTTGCCAGAGACTGCATCCTCACAAGTTGACGGGTGCTCCCCAACCCCTCCTAGACCCGTCCAGGTCCTGCCGTCTGCCGCTTCCTTCCTGGATAACTCCTAATGTTTTCAGTCCCTCACAGCTGGGCCACACTGCCGTCCTGGGCTGCTTTTGCTGTCTCCCAAGTCTGGAGTGGCGCCCACACTCACTCCTCTCTCACACTTGTCTCTGGTAAGCAGTGCCGAGCACGGTGCCCCGTGGGGAGTTGAGTGCTTGCTCACAGTGGAGAGTGTGTGCTCATGTCTGAGGAGAAATTCTGTCTGGCCTGGCTCACCCTTCCCACTCCTCACTTTTCCACTTCCACCTCCAGGACTAGCTGTGACCAAAAAGTAGCTTGTAGCATCTTGCCCACCTCTTCTCTCCTGCCAGTGAATACATGCTCTGCTCCTGCCTGGATCATTCTCCTCCTCCTCATGCTCAGGGATCACCAGAAACCTGCTCTTCTGGCAGCCTGTACTAACTAACCCCTCTGGGCTGGGCTGGGCCTGAGTCCCCAGCAAGAGCCTTGCCTCCAGATTGAAAAAGCTGCCTGGGGGCTCTTTGGAGAACCAGGGTCTGTGGGGCAGGTGCTCCTGTTCCCCTAGAGCCACATATAGGCCCTGACAGTATCCCCTGGCTCTCTAAAAATGCTGGCCCAATGTAAGTATCTCTGAGACCCACAGATGCACCTATTGACTGTAGCTCTTGACTTCCTCCTAGGGCAGCAGCCGCGTCCATGGAGCAAAAGGAATGCCCGGACCCTGTGCATCCAGACAGGGACCAGCCTCAGCACCAACAGCCAGCACGAAGATAGCAGAGCCACCTCAGGGTAAGGCCCTCTCCAGACTTTGTGTACTGCCTCTCCCAGGCAGATAGATAGCATGGCCCACGCCTCCATTTTCATAGTCCTTTGGCCTTTATAGGATCCAGAGCTTCTGAGTGTTCCTGCTTGCTCTGCCTTGGTGTTTTTGTTTTTGTTTAGTAGTGGGGACTGAACCCAAGGCCTCACACGTGTCACACAAGTGCTCTATCTTTAAATTACTTCTTAAACTCAATATGTATCTGAGGCTGGCCTTGAACTCCTGATCTCCCTGCTTCTATCTCCCAGTCCTAGGATTACAGGCACACAGCACCAGTCTGGGGTAATGTGGTGCTGGGGATGGGACCCAGGGTTCTCTGTGTGCAAGGCATGCACTACTAACTCCCACCCCAGCTTTCTCCTTGGACCTTGTTTCACCTTTATGGTCAGGCAGGATCTTCCTAACTTGCCGGGTCAGACCTTGAACTCGCAGCTCTGCATCAGCTCCTGAGTCGCTGGACTCCAGGCTCTGTGAGCAGGCCCAGAAGGCTGTGTTCTTGGAACCCAGTGCTGTTGCACTGAGCCTCACATTTGTCTCCCCCCACATCTTACCAGTGTGGGTAGCTAGAAATGCTGCCTGAGCCACATTTCCCAAGTGTGTTCCTTTGGACACGAACCCTTTGGTCATGGAGCTTAGATAATCCTGCAGCTGCTGCAGGACTGGTCAGTCTTGAAAGCATGGGCTTGAGCATGGTGAACGTGAGCAGTCCTCACGCTTATGTGGTCATAGGCATAGCTGTTGGAGGCGGAGCTTCCTTTAGACTGTATACTTTCTTTTTCTATTTGCTTTCTGAGGCGAGGTTGTACTCAGACTTGGTAGGTAGCTGAGGACGGTCTCCTGAGTGCCTGGATTACAGACTTGTACCACTGAGTGAGCTTTCTGTGGGTGCTGGACCTGGCCCCCAGGGCTGTGTGCACACTAGGCCGACACTACCCACTGAGCTCCTTCTCCAGCCCTCCATTGCGCTGGAGAGGTTCCCCAGGACTGGAGGCTCACTAGCTAGGCCCTGACTCAGGGTTAGATCTAGTCAGACTCAGCATGGTTTGCTGAGGGATTGTGGGGGTCTCAGTGTTGAGAACCTTGGCGGCAGGTGGGACTGCAGCCCTGCCATCAGCACTGGGAGGCTGAGGCAGGAGGTTTGCCAGCCTGAGCTACATACTGAGACTCTGTCTCAAGAAAAGAAACTAGGAAGTGGGTCTCTGAGTTTGAGGCCCGCGCGGGCCACACAGAGAGACCCTGTCTCAAGAACAACAACAAAACAAAAGCAGATGGAACGGGGGAGGGGGCTCATTGACATTGTTAGCAGGAAGTTAGGTCCGCAGCAAGCCTCCAGAACAGGTGGTGGTGATGGTCACTTTCTGAGGACTGGTGTGGAGAAGGCACTTAGAACACTCGGTGACAGGATCTTGGGATCGCTTGCCAAAGCTTGAGCTTGGTCTCTGTCGGCGTTAACTCATAGAAACTGAGGCTCAAAGCCAGGAAGCAACATGCTAAACCCACCCATGAAGGACGGTGGCGTGGATTTGAACGCAGATCCTGTAACTCTGTCTGGGTCTGGTCCTTTGTTCTTGCCTCAGTCCCCCAACCTCTGTTTATGCCTCAGCTTTTCCTGGAGGATTGTAAGAGCCCCCACCCCACCCCCAGCCTGGACTTTAAGGAAATAGTCATCCTGGGGGTGGGGTGGGGGTGGGTTGCTGCTACTTTCAACATCCATGTAGCCCAGGCCAGCCTCAACAGCTTTTTTTATTTTCAAGTTGTATTATGTGTATGGATGATGAATGGTTTACCTGCATG